GTTATTGCCATGTTGCTTTTACGAAACGAATTGTAAACAACCTACAGGTTAAGGTGTAGAAAAGCCAAATGGAACAAACTTGAGTTTTGAACTCCGAAGCTGTTAGCCTTGTTAGTATATTTAGTATACTGGAAACTGCTACTAACAAACTGACAAAGGCAGGTAAAGTTATTTATAATATGTTAAAATATAAGTGCCCGTCGAACCAGGATAGTCAGATCTACACCAATTTGGTAGATTTGCTGATTGTATTGTTCATCTGCTAGACACGTCCCTATTGTTTGATGCTAAATTTGCAACAATATATTAAATCTATAGCTAATAGGTAATGAATATTTGAGAGGCCTTTTCCGATACTGCAATATTTTGGTCAACATTCGCAAGATTCCCCCCCATACTACTAAAAAGTTGAAAGAATAAGTATTTATATCAATGCAAAGAAGATAGACATTTACGAAAATGTCAGTGTAGGTCTAGCGGTCGCCGTAAAACTCAGACATTTATTTTGATATTTAGCATAACCTCCTTTAGATTTGCCGGCGATTAAATTTTCCTATATACAATACAATACAATATATTATAAAGTGATGGCGATATATACAGTGGTTTTATATATTACACTAAAATAAAACATGTATAGTTTTTCTTATGTGGTACCTAGATAACTTAATATCCATATGCACCAATCTTAAATAATGTGTATTGTAACATTTTAATAATAAAATAGTAAAATAAATGAATCAAAATAAATTTGATATTTGATAATCTATATAACTATAATGTTATGCTAATAACTTTGTAGCCACTTAAGCAAGGACAAAAATCAACCAACTCAGAATTTAAATTCCTAAAAAAGCATAAAAAAATGATCAAAACATTTTCATACTTAGCTAGCAAAGAGCCATAAACCTATCAAGGTTTGCCACAACAAATGATCTACACTCTGAACTAAACAATTTTAATTTATTTATCATCCTCAGTATCCCAGGCAAAATGTTGTAGGTTTTCGGACCAATATAGTCAATTCAGTTTATGTTTGTGAAGCTATTGGGTAATATTAGATTTCTATCAGCATTGTTTCTGGTTGATTAAGGATGACTAACATATTCTCTTATTAAAGGACCTTTATACATAAAGGAACAGAATTCTAAAATATACAATTGTCTTACAGCAAGTATTTTTTCACTATAAAGATGACAAATAGGATATCTTTTGATTTTTCTAAAAATTATTTTCAATATGTAATTCTGGATAGTTTTTAAAGGTTTTAATGCTGTCTCGTATAAAGTTCCCCAGACAATTATCCCGTATCTGAGCAATGACTCCACTAGGGCTTTATAGACACAGATTGATAAGTGATTGTTTAAAAATTCTCTGATAATGTAAAATTTTCTAATTAGTTTTCGTAGATTGTTAATTAACCTAAGCACATGTTGTTTCCATTTAAGATTTTGATCTATTATTACACCAAAGTATTTCGTGTATGGTACCAGTTTTATTTCGTTTTCAAAACCGTTTACTTGTATGCTGTTGAAAGTTGGTTATTTGCAGATGTTAAGGAAAAGGCTATGTAATTAGTTTTATGTACATTTAAACTAAGTTTAGATGAGTCAAGCCAACATTTTATTTTTTCTAATCCAAGAGATTTTTTTTCATATACCTCTTCCCATGTTTCCGCCACAAAGACCACGACGGTGCCATTAGCCTATCAAACCACCATACCATTTTCTAGAATAATCTGTCAAGGAGTTTATATATACTCGTAATATAAATAATAATGGCCCAATAACGGTGCCCTGTGGTATGACCAATTCTATTTCTGACGAGTCACTGATCACATTTCCGATTTTAGTCATATACGTCATTCAACATGGATCTTGATGTTACTGTTACTTACTACAAAAACTGCACACTTTGATCATATTATGGTGATGTCTAGTAAAAATAATACTTTGTCTTCACACAGGACCGACCAGGTGTTAGATCTAAGTTAAGTAAAGCATTCCTTAAACTATGTACATTATAACAATTCCTTTAATGAACAGTAACTGTCATAGAAGTAATTTAGTGCAAATGCAACACCGTTTCCAAATTGGTACGCAAACCTATAAATCAGCAAGAACTACTCGACGTCTTAATCCTTGGCCAATCGTAGCAGAAAGCCATTTGTCACCTCGAGACAACTTAATGGCATTTGCTTACTAATATACACATCTCTAATGTATTGACTGAGCAAAGGGTCATTAATTCAATCAGCAATTTGTCGGCGCAGTTAGGTATATTAGACTACTAATGTTAATCAAGAGGTGATTAAATACTGCTCTACCTAGTTTGCGGCTTTGCATTGCAATTACAAGAAGTGTGTTTCTCTGTGCCTACAGCGTTTGTACTCATGGGTTTTGGGAGACGTGGAAGCATGATGCCCGAGGATCTCGGATCTGTTTATGTTTTTAGGCAAGGACTTCTCTGTAGGATAAAGTGGCAAGGGACATGAGGATTGGATTTTCTTGAGCTACCTCGGATTTCCTCGAACTACCTCAGGGGTATATGTCTATTCTACGAGCAGACAAAGGTCAGGTGTGCCCTTATATGTCTCCCCAGTTTTAATGCGAGAGATTATTAGGCATATATAGGAATATATAAAAAATCCGCCGCGGATCCAAGTCGTGGTCGTTTGGTCGCCACATTTGAAAAATTGAAAACAAACATAGTATAATACTAGCAAGACTACTTTAAATGGGTAAATGGTCCATCTTTGGTTACGTAAAAACCAATGTCGAACAGTTCGACAGATTGTATTCAAACATTCAGTTTTCGTTAATCTTACCACAAAATGCGTTCTAAGTTTGAGCTATGACTGCGTCGAGTCGAGTCTGCGTTACCCTGTGTCTCAGCTTTCGCATGGGTTAAGAAAATTGGAACGGAAGCAACTTTGCAATGGCTCAGAGAGCTCACATGTTTTATAAAGAATCTAGATGCAACTAATACGTGATTTCACTAAGACAATCTAGCCTCAATTGTTTCTAATAGAGAACAGTTGAGGTTCGTTAGAGTGAAAACCCGAACAACCTGGATTCCGGGTCCAATGAATCGATTTTTGAGAAATGTGCTCATAATATTAAAAGGCTTATACACCTTGGGAAAAACCATTATTATACATTATGATGAGGAAGAAGAGATGGAAATATACAAAAGTATGTAGGTGCGTGAAAGACACTCGATTGTAGGATCTTATCTGGCAGCGTCGAAGTGTGACGGACAACGGGGTAAAGTAGAAGAGTGATAAAAGAGAGAGACGGCAGAACGGGCGCTGGCGCCTACCGCTTAGACGGCTGCGCTCAACAAATGCGATTTGTTTCTCCCATTCGCAGAGTTGCCGATACCAATATGTCATATTTCTAAGAAATCTAAGTCTACCCAAATTTAGGGAAAAATAGCTGCGGATTCCACGTAAGAGTATTCCAAAAATGAAAAAAGTTCAAACTATTAAAATCGTATTAATGTTTCATGGTTCAAATCATATTTTTCATGTTTGTATATTGTTGTATAAATGATTTTGTAATCCCTATTCTTGTTGCCAGTAGAGATACAAACAGTATTGAGAGAAATCATGGACCGCTAGATAGGGCTACAACTACCATATGACTATCAAATAGTAGTGATAAACAGGGTTTGTTTATAGCACAGTTGCCTGGTGTGGCGAATTTGCGCCATAGGGGCGATTTGACAACTTTGAAGGACAACTATAACGGGTACTATGGTGCCCGGTATTCGGGATGATTCCTAACGTTTATTACGCCAGATTGTTTGCTGACTTGCGCAGTACAACATGACAATCAACGTGACTGAGCACCTGGTAACCCTGGTTTAAGGTGTTATATTTAAAGAGCTTGCGGCAGTTAGGTATCTAGGTCACATTTTTTAATGTATTTCGAGAAATCCGTAATGTTGGGTAAATACTAGATCACGTTTCTTGCTTAGTTTGCTGAAAATTCTACAATAGACGTACATTTTGAGAAACAGAGATTTGGTGACGACAAAATCGTAAAAATATAACGCATTTTCGTAAAATAATTTCATTGTTGAAAAGACTGTGGCTTGATGACCCATTGAACGAGTATAGTGTCCCGCTCCGCTTTGAATATTCGAAACACTATACTACAGCAGCATTCAGCTTCAATGTTATCTTTATGAAGTTCTAACGTCTAGGCCATGCTGATTAAAAGCTTGAATGAATCAACACTTAACCCTAAATTCCCCACAATTCGGGAAGCTCTACTCAAATTGGCAACACAGCGTATCTGCCTATTATTCTCATTCGTGATACAGGTCTGCGGTTAACGGTAGGAAATATGTACGAATAGCGATGAAAGTAGACGAGCCGATGAGCTGTTGCCAAGAAATGATTTCCCATGTATAACAATGGTTTTTCCTAAGGTGTATATATTTTAATTTCTTTTAAATTACTTGATTAAGATTCAAACAGGGCATTTTGAGGCTTGAATAACTACGCCACTAATTTCTTAGTCACTGCGATCAAGGGATTTTCAGACAAAAAGTATTCTTTTCTGCTTGCAATCAGTTAATTTAAGTCGACAAAGAGGAGCGCCGTAAATTTATCAGGAGACAAGGAAAATAACAGTACCCCCACAGTTTTTTGATCAGAAACAAATGCCGGAATATATTTGACTTCATATGGATTAAGACCTGAAAACAGAGCGATCTATGAGCAATTTACGACTTCCAGCTGATTTCAGTTTCACGTTAGGTTGATTCTTATAGCTACAGACTCTTTAATTGCTTATCAACAGACAAGCTAATTTTGTAGAATAAAGCCTAATAGCTTACTCCCCTTGAATATTTGATTAATAATTTATTTTTGCGACTTTTGGTGCAACTGAACTGCACTGATTAACGCTGAATACTTGAATTACTACTACTACAGTACTTTTCGATTGTAGCGGGGTTCTATCAGTACTGAAAAACATTGTCTTTTGCAGCTTCGATGCCCGAGACATTCTACTGGAGAAAGGGAAACATTGGGCGGACGAAAGCTTCCTGGGTGGACGCGGTTATTTCCGGTACCAGGACAAACCTGCAAAGCTAACGTTGGATAGTGTGAGGGATAACGACGGTGGCATATATTACTGTCGTGTAGACTTCAAGCAGTCTCCTACGAGAAACATCAAGGTCAATCTTACAATAATCAGTAAGTATCTAAAGTATTTTTAACTTTGTCACCCATGCGTATACAGGTTAGGGCACTTCAACATACGGTATTTTTTACCTTTCATGTTTGTGGTACAAACCTTACGTGCTATTTCTATTGTACCGAACAGCATGAGCATTGCGATCGACGAATGGGCGACTAGTTACCTGAATTACTAATAAAAATCATTTAGATTATCATGGATTCTGTTTGTTAGATTAGGCTTAGTATCTGATATCGCTGTAAGGTATTAAGATCAGTTATTGAATTGTTATTCGAATAGCGACGCAACTTTGATATAAATTATAATAACTAAAGGTCGACAAATTCTTTGAAGTCATCTATAAATTGTCAGCTAGGTTTGTTAAGGGTAACCCCTAGTTTGTGACAACGCGCCGCTGGTTTGTTATAGGACCGATTCCAGAAGGGGCCGCAAAACAGATTGTGGCAATAAATTAGGAATCGGAATCCAGTCTCTCATTTGGTTCCTAATAAAGAACATCAGAATGAACACAAAACTTCCAACAGAGCTAAGGAGCGAAACAATTGTTGAGTGATGAGTGGTAGTGATAGAATCAGGAACTCGTTAAAGACAATAGATATTCCATTAATCCAGGTTAGTAATTCCTTATAAAATTTTGATGCTGCTATTGATATACGTTTCGATCAACTAATTTTTCATTAATTAATTATTTGTACTTATTTTCTGTGAAAGAAGTCGAATTAAGTTGAGGTTGTTGCTGATCTTGCGGGACGGGAGCCTTCTTTGATTTATCTAGAGAAATGATTGGATGCTCTAGCGATCTAGATTCAGTATTTTGTATTTTCACATTTATATCAAGTAGTCTAGTCCCAGGAGGTCGCCTTGTTCTAATAGCGTTGGTCTGAGTAGCAGTATTAGATACTCAACCTACAAGAATAAAGGTGACGTGGCTGAGACGAGAATGCCCAGCAATGCTTTGACATTTGTTCCATGGTAGCATTTACAGGGCAAAGCATTGTCTTGAAGATCAGATCTTTAACTATGCCAGCTCAAGTTATGCTACAGGGGTGAGGGTGATCAACCCAGTTCTGTGGCGGATCCATATTCGTCTCATGCAGTTTCATATATAGGAGCTTACAATAACTAGACAAAGTTCGATTTCGTGTTTACATTGAGATTAGTAAATTTTATATGAAGGCCTCGAAAAGTACTGAGTCGATGTACTTGGCGCCATTTGCTTATGTTTAATATGGATTTACGAGATGCTCTGGGGTACGTTTTGATGCCCCAAAGGTAATTTTCGTCATCTACTTGCTTAGATTATTTAATGCACATTATGGTTAGGCCTGGTGGCCCAAGAACTTTGAGTTGCACTGTATATGAAAGTTGTAAAATTCTGGCATAGATCCGTAAATTCTACTTGAACAAATTAATCTCAAACCACATGTGCACACACACTTCGGGGAAGGCCTCTTCCAAACATGATTTTCTGGAGAACCAAGGTAAGCATGCTTACACATTGAAAAGGGTGAACTCTAATATTTGCCGTATACTTTCATATTTCTGAAAACAGACTTAATTAAACCGCTGTTCAAATCTGACGAAGAAGAAAAACCGTGTAATTACAGTCCAATTTCCTCACTCAGTATTTTCTCCAAAATAAATTAAAATGACATTAAAAAAAAGGTTAAGGAATTCCAATCAAAAATATAACAATAAATCAGACCAACAGCACGGATTTCAGGAAGGAAAATCATCGCAATATGCGATTATGCGATTAACCAATAAAATATTGTTTATTTTATTTTATTATTAATTTATTTTATTTTATTTTCTTTTGTTCCGTTTCGTTTCGTTTCGTTTCGTTTCGTTTCGTTCCGTTCCGTTCCGTTCCGTTCCGTTCCGTTCCGTTCCGCCTGATATTTACGTAGATAATAAAACGAAAGGTATTCAAAAAGGAACCTCCTTATGAAGTGGAATACAACAAAAAATATATTTCTCATAAATATAGAACAAAAAACATGAAAATGTATAATAAAAACAACAATTATTTTGTGCACTTATGTACCAGGAAAAAACACTCAAGGCAAAAATATTTTTCACATGACCTGCACTTTAGTTTTGTTTGCGGAGTTTTTCTTTGAGCATGTGCTCGCCCAGATTCCCTTTGAAGTTTTTCATAACAAAAAGCTTATCGACGTCGGTTGTTGGTACCAACATCTTCCAAAGAATGTTGATGATCTTCAAAAATACTATGCGTATGCTTATCAACGTCAAAGCCTAAGAGTCTGTTTACGATTTCCTGCTTGTATTTTGTGATGGACATTTTTCCGTTGGCTACTTTTTGGTGCAAAACATGTGCATTTACTAATGCACTACCAATAAGAAGCTCAATGGCCAGCTTGCGGTACCACTTCACCCTTCTGCGTAATGAGGTTGTATAAGACTTCCCAACCACAGCAGCAGGTTTTTGCAATTCTTTATTATTGCCAGATCTGATGATTAGTAACTCATCGGTGTGTTTTGTGGATAAGGTAAGCACATCTCTTTTGTCCTTCCACTTCTGGATAATTATACCTGAGTTGCTTTCAGCTGCCCCAGTTTCTCCTTTTTTGAGCTTTTTATCAACAACTTGTTTAGGATTCATTTTTCGATTGGATCGGAGAGTCCCAACCAAGTGAGTGTTCCTTGCCAGTAATGCACCTGCCAACTCGATACTTGTATAATAATTGTCCGTATAAATTTTCCGTCCCTTGTCAAACAAGTCCTTTGCAAGAGTGAGCACTACTTTTTGGGTTGAAGATTGACCCTCTCTACCCGGTCCCGTCCACAATAAATCAACATATTGTAAGTATAACCCTTTTCAATGCACAGTTTGTACAGTTTCATTCCAAACTTGTGCCTTTTATTTTTTATATATTGTCGCAAAGACAACCGACCTCGGAAAGGAACCAGGGTTTCGTCAATACAGAGGGCTTCGGTCGGTGTAAAATAACGATGAAAATTTTTATTGAGTTTTTCTGTGAGAGGCGATATTTTCTGCAATCTGTCTGTGGACACATTTTCATTATTGCTGAATTTCCACATTCGCAACATTATCTGTAATCGATTACGAGACATTACAGATTTTATCGCATTCTGGTATATCGTCATTTTTGACCAATATGATTCAATACTTGGGTATTGAACAAGACCCATCCAAATCAGTATACAAATGAATGTTTTCATTTCGTCAACACTTGTATCCTACCACTGATGAACTCTAGCCCCTCGTGTAACTTCTTTAGCCAGCCACTGAGCTGCGTACCTGTTTCTTTCCGTGACCATCATTCTGAGCAAGTCTTCGTCTAAAAATAGATAGTAGAACTCCAGCGGCGATTTATCATAATAGTCCAAATAAGCTGGTCATCATCGATAGATTCTTCGTCACTACTACTTGAACCAATATTGTTCTGAATAACGTGTTCATTTGTTTCCATGAACAAATCCTGATTATCTGGTATATTTGAGCAGCTTGGCTGTGGTGAAGTTGCATGTACTTTGGTGCGTTTCGGTAACAGTGGTTTTGCTGTAGAATCGTCGGATTCATCATCGCTACTTGGAACGTATTCGTCGGACGATTCACCAGACGGCTGATCGTCATTTTCGTCAGATAACACCTTCTGCAATAAAATTGGCAGAACAATTTTTGAGTGATAACTTTACAGATAGACAGATAAACAGAACTTTATATATTTTTCACTTTTACACTGGCCTATACAAAAAATGACAGGGCAACGTACTAGTGACTCCAAAATTAAATATTTCAATATATACATGTAGGATACATTTACCTGCTAGAATTGCTGCAACCGCCTTTGCTCTTTTTCGTAAGACATTTATTTGATTGAACGAACAACACAAGTTTTATAGCTTCTTAAGAAGACTGGAACACATCTGATGAACACCGCATAAACTAGACTGAGACATCACTGATAGCATTCGCTTCTAATACATTGTTCGGCTCGCACCGGTCGATACAATTCGGTGAGACACAACATTTGTTGCACGCGGCCATTGGGTAAAACTTCATATGTTGAGGCCGCGTGACCATGCGGTGGGTCTCATCAAGAAACGTGAAAAAGAATATGAAAAAAATTTTTTTTGGGAACACAAAACACGCACGGTTGTTCTAAAATACTGAAACTGGTATTTGGAAGAAAAAAAAAAGGTGGCCCCAGGGACCGATTTTTTTTTAGTATTACGGCAGTCAACGTGTTAAACATATCAATCAGGTTACTTGCAGAATTGTAATTCCTACACATCACATGCAAAGGGGAATAATGTAAATAATTAATCGATCAAACGAACTTACCTTAAGTGAAGCTCGATCGTAATTATACGAGGATCCAGTCCGAAGACATCACTTTGTTTATTTACTATGTAGTCCGGCTCTGGATTACTAGTCGCACACCAAGTTGAAAGACAAGAGATCCCCGCTCCCGTCTCGTCGCTTTCCGGTCTTGCACGTTGAGTGTTGAGTCATTTGTTAAAAGAAATGGTACTTGCTCGCAACTTGGGAGGGTTGAAAAAGGGGTGGGAGTGATGTCTTCGGACTGGACCCTCGTATAATCACGATCGAACTTCTCTTAAGGTAAGTTCGTTTGATCGATTAATTATACTTTAGGTCCAGTCCGAAGACATCACTTTGTTTATTTACCATGTAGATGTTTAAAGATAGAACACAGTTGCGAGAGATCTTTATAAGGTGGAATCAAAATGTTCAGAAACGACAAAACCATATATTTAGTATTCCTATGTAACAAACATAAAATAAATTCTCAAATTGTAACCTAAAGATAACGTTGATATGAGAAATAACTGAAACACAGGAAACATGTAACAAACTCTCAAGAGTATTAGAACTTAACTAATCAGACCAATTTTATATCTAGGATTGCATTTGCAAACTCATTGTTTGGTTGTAGAGGACGATTATAAAATCTTGCAAACGTGGAACGTTGCGTCCAACCAACTG